GTAGGAAATCACGATTATTTGTCTCCACTGATACCTAGAATAACCTTGAGGAAGGTAATTTTGAAGATGTTGGGTTCTGAGACTTTTCCTTTCACTGGACACTCGGAAGCAGAAGGGAGAATTTGCTTAGATAAACACCCTGTGCCTCATTCCTGTGACATTCAGGAGCAGAACTCCATCTGCCGAGGAGGCTACCGCATTAGATTCTAGAAGGAAGTCACTAGGACCAGGAGCCTGACAGACCTCATCATGAGCCTGTGCACACAAGGCAGTACCATCTACGTCTGACTAGAGGTTGCCAAGTTGTTTATGTCAGTCTGTAGAGAGGTCTGTAAGTCAGCCACAGACGGCAAACCTCGTCCAGGATGATGTGGATAACGCTTTCCAGCCCGAGTCTCCTTTCAGCATCACCGGGTAGCCATATTTAACAGTTCTGAGATAGTAACAGTGCACAATAGTAACTGAGTTCAACTGAACGTGTTAAAGAAGGTAAAATTACCTTTGATCAGTGTAGTATCTAGGCCGGCTGAGCTAGCCAATGCCAATTAAAACATGAGGTCTGTGTGTGCGCTACAGATGGAGTGAAAAGTTAATCCTCAAAAGTCAAATCTGCACTGGAAGCTGACCTCTAATAGGGAGAATCATTTTTTTCCAGGGACAAAGCCCTGGCAGGTTGTCCAATCCCAGTTCCAAGTGACCAGCCCTAAACACATGTACATACAAGCAACACTGAAAGAGCTCAGTAAGATCTATGTTATATATGAATATATTGTAATACTATAGTAAATATAGATTATTAGTAATATACTGATGTATAATTATACATAAAATAGTATATAATGTGTGTATAGCTAATACTTAAAGAAGAAGTCATGAATTTGAGAGGGAGTGGAGGAGATGTGGGAGGAGCTGGAGGCAGGGGGAGGAAGGGATAGAAATGATATAAAAATACACTATTAATATATGAAATTCTCAAACGTTTAAACGAAAAAATAAATTTACCTCTATTGTTTAGTGATTATAAGAATCTTGGCACAGTTTATAATCTTTAAAGCCTTAACTTTTGCAAATGCAAAATAGATACTGTTGCATATGTTGTTACATGCATTGTTGCAATGGATAGAGAGTAACTTTGATTAATTTAGGAAAAAAATAATTTATTGAAAGGCTATTGGTTAGCTGATGGCATGCGAAGAAACCCAAGAAAGCCGCCCAGGAATGAAGGTCAGCTGGTGTCTAGCACAATGGCCAAGATGTCCTAAGAGGGATAGCTGACTCAGGGTGACACAGCTCGGTTACTGAGCACAGGGCACAGACTCTGTCATACTGGACACTGGATACTGTAGGAGGTCCTGCCAAGATTGTGTTCTGCTTATCACTGTCTCTGGAATGGATCCCCACTTTCCCTTCTCTCATGATCCAGATTCCAAGTCCCTGAAAGGTAGCTGACCACCCGAGTTCAGGTAACCTATCTGTACCCTGCCATCGTGGGTGAGAGGAGCCGGTATTTGCTTGTCTTGGCATCTGTGGCGAGCAGATAGCAGACTTCTACCAGAACACACGTAAATATAAATAGAGATTCAAGTACAGGATTTCAGAAAGATTTCACTGTCAAAGACAATGATATCCGCGCAATGATTTGTTTCCCCCATGATCACTGCCTGGTCATAGAATGGCATTTTTTAAAAAAAATATACTTAAAAAGCCCTGTAGGGTATCCGTGAGCATCTGAATAGCTCTTGGAGGAGATGACCTCAAGGGAGATGAACCTGCAGGAATAAGAACATCACAGTTCTATAATATTTAGGTGATGAGAACAGTGCCCTTCTGGTAGGTGGAGCAGAGGTCTCTTTGTTCAGAGCTGTGCAGCGTGAATTCTAATTGGTCTTAATAATAAAAATCCAGAGTCAGATATCAGGGTAAATGCTGAAAGATCAGAGAGACAAAGGAGAAAGTCACACCAACCTCTTACCTCGCCAACTTCTCAGGCGAAAAGGGGCCAAGCTCCTGTCTCTACCCTGCTTTATCACTTCCTCTCTCTCAGCATAACCAGAGGTTATTTCCTCTTTCCAGGTTCTGGGGTTAAAGGTGTGTGCCCCCATTGCCTGGCCTCTATGGTTAACTAGTGCCTAGCCCCTCACTCTAATCTTCAGGCAAGCCGTATTTATTAGAGCACACACAAAATATCATCACAACACTGTCAAATCAGAAGTGAGACTCTCGGGCTCCTCCAACTCTACTTTCCTTGGGTTTTCAGATTCGTGTCTTTTTTAAAATTGATTTTACTGAGCTATACATTTTTCTCTTCTCCCCTCCCCGCCTCTCTCCTCTCCCTCAACCCTCTCCCATGGTCCTCATGCTCCCAATTTATTCAGGGAGATCTTGTCTTTTTCTACTTTCCATGTTGATTAGATCCATGTATGTCTCCCTTAGGGTCCTCATTGTTGTCTAGGTTCTCTGGGATTGTGAATTGTAGGCTGGTTTTCTTTGCCACTTATGAGTGAGTATATATTGTATTTGTCTTTTTGGGTCTGGGTTACCTCACTCAATATGATGTTTTCTAGATCCATCCATTTGCCTGCCAATTTCAAAATGTCATTTTTTTCTGCTGTGTAGTACTCCATTGTGTAAGTGTACCACATTTTCCTTATCCATTCTTCAGTCGAGGGGCATTTAGGTTATTTCCAGGTTCTGGCTATGACAAACAATGCTGCCATGAACATAGTTGAGCACATGTCTTTTTGGTACGATTGAGCATCTTTTGGGTATATACCCAAAAGTATTATTGCTGGGTCTTGAGGAAGGTTGTTTCCTAATTTTCTCCATTTTTACAAGATCCTGCCTAAGACGTCCCTACAATGAATGTTTGACAATTTATGTTTTCAACCAATTTCTTCCTCCAGCGCTGCTAACATTCTCCACTCCTTCATTCTCTTCTGGAGGTACTTAGATTCATGCAGGACTTCATTTCCTCACCCCTACTTTGTTTCCTTGTTCAACTGACAATATGTTTCCTGTATATGAATGAGGAACAGTTTTGACTTACAGGCACATTGCAGAAAAAGCCAGTCAGGCTAATTCACACACATAACACCTCACCAAGACACCAGTGTTGAGGCAGCCAGCACATTAAAGATACATCGGCAGTTTTAAAATGGTGAGTTACATAAAGTGTGGTTAGCGCACAGAGAAATAGATCGTGAGAACTCACCCTTCTAGACCAACAGAAAATGTGTACCTTTTTACAAATCACATCTCCCCTCTCCCCATCTTTCCGCTGATAAACCCCTTCTCCTCCCTATTTCTCCAAGACTGACTTATTCATAGTCCACATATAAGAGAAATCCCACAGTATTTATCCGTTTGTGCCTGGCTTAGATCACTTATTCCCATGCCGTCCAGGTTCACTCGTCGGGTGAATGGCAGAATCTTCTCTCAAGCCTGTGTAGCATTACCTGTGTTTGTAGAACACATTCTTGCTCCATTCCCACAATGGTGGACATTGTCTGTTTTGACTATTGTGAATCATATTGTAAAGGACATAGGCAAATACTTCTTGGACGTGCAAGTTATTTCAGTGTCTTTGGTTGTACCCGAGAAGGCAGGTTGTTTGATCATGTGCTAATTCTACGTTCAGGTTGTCAGGTAATTCCTGTTATATTTTTCAGTGGTTCTCTGATTTAAATTCCACCACCAACATGTGAGGGTTCTTTTTTTTTTTTTTTCTCCATATTCTTGCCAACACTTGTTATAAGTACTTGCTATCATTTGGGACGGGGACAGAGTGAACAGGGAAAGTGTGAGGCTAAGTTTTCACTATGTGCCTGCCTGTATCATATCATTTACTTTGTTTTGCTTTACATAGGATGTGGACAAACTACATTTTAGATTGTTTTACAAAGTGGAAGCTGGGGTGGGAGCTTTGCCTTCATTGCTATGGTTGTACAGATGTAACGGTTAATTTTCATTCTCATCTTGACCCGACTTGTAGTCACCTAGGAGACACACCCCTGGAAATGCCTGCAAAGGTGTGCCCAGAAAGGGTAAGCAAGAAGGGGAAAGCCACCCTGAACGTGGGTGGTATCACTTCATGGGCTGCAGCCTTGGACTAATTCAGAGGGGGAAAGAAGAAAGCAAGTTGTATAGCATCTTTCAGCTGTCCCTGCTTCCCGAGGATGGATGCAGTGTGGCCAGGTGCCTCAAGCTTGGGTGGGCTCTATGAGAGTTCGTCCCCTTGCAGAAAAGCGGGACTTCCCTGCTATGGCGGGTTACACCTTAAACTTGAAGCTGGAGCAAGCCTTTTCTTCCTTAGGTTTCTGTTGTTGCTGCCGTCAGCTATTTATTTGTTCACAGCAATGAGAAAAGTCATGAAGGCAGCATGTTTTCCTGAACGTTACTTCAGCACCTTCTTAAGATTGGGTCTTACTGGAAAAGCTGGCGCATCCTGCTTTCACGTTTTGAGTAGGCGTGTTTTCATGCGCTCTCCCATGGGACTCAGAAGATGTCTGCCTTCTAGTCAGTGAGGGCTACTTGGGAACAGGGCAATATTAGCAGGTCTTCAAAATACGATACAGAATAATGAGAAGCATGGACCATAACAGATGAGGCTAGAGAGACAACCAGATACCAGTAAGTCCCCCTTCATCATGGCAGGCAGGCTTGCATGCAAGAAGTCTCTGCAGGCTTTGGGCTTAGGAGGGAATAGCTCATAATAAGATACCCAAGGGAAAAGGTACAAGAATCTAAGGACTGTAAGAAACAGGTTAGAGTCACATCGTATTACTACAAGGCGCACAGGGGAAGAAGCCAAGGGGTGTGGAGTGGGTGAAATCAGGAGCAGCTGGGCTGGGTTGGCTGGGAAATGGGGGGGTCGGGCAAGAGATGGAGAGGAGTCAAAATTAGTTCGATCCAGATTCCTCGTTTGAGTGCAGGAGAGGTGGTGAACCGAAGCCACATTAGGAACGCTGTAGCTCAGGGGGAACTATCGTGGCTGCAGATGGCATCTGGTATTGTCCTTCTGCCACTGTCTTAAAAGGGATTCTGCAGGGATTTTCTTTCCCTTGTTCCTCCAGCCCTCCACTTGCGTTACTGGCCTAAGTGGATCCGCCCCAGCTGGTCCCGTCCATCACCACAGTCAGGTCTGAAGATTCCTGATACGCTTAGAGCCTGTGGCACTGCAGACGCAAACAGTCGTTAGTGGACGGCCCTATTGTAACAAACCACGCGTTAAGATGTAAACCCCGGAGAACTGGCCTCAAGCGTCCAGAAGCAACCTTTACTCTGAGCCTGGATTAACCATGAGAGAGCTCGTCCACATTCCATTGTTACAGATTCTCTCCCTGGTCGCCTTCAGCGGGACCGAGAAACTTCCAAAAGGTTGGTCTGCACAGTCTAGCCCTAAAGGGCGCGTGAGCTTCGTGGTGACTGATTCACGCTGTGGTGTGTTTGGGTGATGGAGGGCTGGAACGTGTGGAGAAAGAGGAGAGCATTACACAGCATGGTTGGTTCTTCTCCGATGTTGGCTGTCTTCTAAGCTCTGTGATTACAAACAGCTTCATGTGTCCAGAGCCCTCCTTTCTAGGGAGAGGTTGCCAGGTAGACTGTGAATTATGGCGATCTGTTCTGTTTCTGTGTATGTCAAATGGTGGGGTGGTCTACACGGGTGATGAAAACCATTCCCTGCTGGGCTTGCCAAGAATATAATCCACCCCACTTCCAGATACCCAGAATGTTTTGCTCCTAAGCAAAAGCCATTTCTATTTTCGGTTTTAGCTTTCATCAAACTCTTAATGTGCATTTTAGTAGCTAGAAATCAGACCTAGGGAAAGACACACAGAAGGTGCCTCTGGAATAAAAGCCTCAGATTCTCCGTGCTTTTGCTACCGGTGTTGTGATTTGGGCTTGACGAGAGATTGCATTAGTTTTTTTTCTGGGCTTTGGAATGTACCGGAAATAACACCACCTAAGGGGGAAAGCAACTTAAGAAAGTGACAAACACCTGTTGCAGCAGTAAGGCCGTCCACTACACTGTGGTTTCTGGCTAGAGTATTATGAAAGTTAGAATCAGGAAAAGTGGAAAATACCTGATTTGCAAAAGCCGCCGGGTCTGCGCTGAAATCTTTCCAAAGTGGGGCACGAAGAAGCAGACTAAATGTCCTTCGATGGGGCTGTGTTAAGAGTCTCACAACAGAATTAGGAAGAGTGCTGGGCTGCTGTCAGGTGAATTATTTCCCATTTTGACCAGGTTGCCTAAACACTGAAAAAATTTTTCTTGAATAATCAGTGAAGGTGACGCTTGTGTGCGCATGGAAAACACATCTTCAGGTTTTGGAGTTCACCTACAGTTCGGGAGGCAAAAGATCAAGGATCCCTGATAAGTAACAGGCAACATTCGTTCCAAACAGTCTGATTACATGGATTTATTTTCTCATTTATTTACTTGTTTCTCTTTCTCCATCTTCTACTGTAAAATCATTTACATCACGATGGCCCTTTTAGGCACTTTTACATAAAAAAGAATCCAGACCTTTTAAAATAGCTAATAATAGCCAGAAGGACTTAACATTGGTTTTGGGTCATCCTAATACTTCCTGTTCAGATCACGGATGTCCGGTAGAACAGCACCTGACTGCTCGGACCTATGGCTCCTAATAGATCTTCTTTGTTTTAATCTAATCTATACCAAGTAGTTACCCATAAGTGAGGAGGATGCAGTTAAACCCTAGCTTGTAAAGAAGGCAGCTGCTTTAAAGTTCTAAATCAAACCTGAGTGCCCAAAACAATAACAATGAAACCCCACAAACACCTCTGTATTTGTATATGAACTTAGATTTTGGAGAAAAATGACTTTATTTTTAGGCCCCAGTCATCCTAAGCCTTCATTCAAATGCATATGATCATCTCTGTTATGCAAACTTCAGGATCATAGCACAGGGGAGCAATACTAAGTATTGCAGCTTTGAAAGAAAAGCACCAGAACATCCATCCAATCTGGTTTTTTTTTTTTTTCAGTGTATTTGCTAAAGATTTTAAGTTTTAAGCAATAGTTTTCTTTGCCTACTCTGTTTATTGGGAAAATAGATACTAGCACTAGGGTTCACATTGGCCTTGTCCCCAAACACCACCCTCAGCTGATTAGACATCCGTTCAATGTTCAAGATGACTTCTGAAAGCCAATAACGTCATGGACATGAAAGCTTTAGAATTTCATTGTTAAAATATGTGGTGTAGTTTGATAGAGAAGAGTCATTTGAATGAATTGTTCTTTTATTTACCATTGGAAAATGATGAAGCTATCTTGGCTAGACTTGCTCACGGCACTTCCGGCAGAGGAGAGTAGGGAACAGTCTGTTAGAGGGTTTGCTTGTCTAGACTGAAATCAAGGGACCTCCACAGTGATGTGTCACAAAAGAACAGTTCTGTTCAGTATAGTTGACAGGTTCAGAGCGAACGGACTTAAAACTGGGCTGTTCAAGGCGTGGATATTCAGAGGAATATTCGGAGGAATCCTGATTCCCTCTGCACCGTTTTCTTCATAAGATTATTTGGCTTTGTAGATTTATAATTTATTATTTTAGCTTTAAATTAATTGAAATGCCTAACATTCTGATGCTGAAAGAAGGTCATTATTTTCTAGGTCATTTCAACTAGTGACATTTTTTTTTTTTTAAATGAGTTTCATTTCCTCACCTCAAGTAGGAGACCTCTAGAAATCATCATGTATGAAAGCGGCCAAAGTTTGGCTGCATTTGCTCAGCCACAGTTTTAAGAGCATCCTCTGATTTATCAGGGTGTATTGAGCGTAAGGTGGGGTATTAAAAATTCCATAAGAGCACAAGATTCGCGTTGGTAGAACTGGAACGATTAAACACTCACAAGGATTTCCTCACAACACCCCACCTTCAAAACGACCCGTTTACAACCAAACCTTCAGGGTTGGATGTCTAAGTAATTTCTCTTTAGGTAAAGCGGAGAAGCCCTGTCTTTTAAACCACACGTGTGCAGGGACAGGATTCGCAGATTGCACTTATGAGTCAGTCAGGGTGACGCAGCTGTCATGCACGCCTTCCAGGACAGCGAGTCCTGGGCGAGTGTTTCACACTGACGCTCACTGTCGCTTACTAATTCTATGTGTGGGAAAACCAGTTGCTTTACATCATGGCTCTTGTGGGGGAAAAGGAAGAGAGGAAATTTCATAATCTCTCTAAAGGTGAAGTAGGACTTGAGGCCATGGAGGAGGGGTGAAGTGGCTGTCCCTGGACTGGTCCATTTGGGAAGATGACCGAAGAATACAGGCCCAGCAGAGCAGGCAGACAGCCTGGTAAGGCTGCAGACAGCAGCTTAAGAGTGAGTCTGACCTGGACAATTGTCTCCCTGTGTCCAGCAAGTGCTGTATGAACATGGGAGTAGTGAGGGCAGGTGTTCATAGTAACTTAGGATCAGCGCTTTTCAGGGGCCCCGCAGCTGAAGAACTCGAGGGCGCAGAAGCTGGGGTTCTGTGAAAAATACCAGCTACTAGAGGTCAGAAGATGAAGAATGTGAAGCAAGGATACTGAAGGCTTGAACAGGCGTCACAATTCATTTCCCCTTTCCTGTCCCTAGCATTTGCTGCAAATCTCTAAAGAAAGCATGGAGTCTATGCCTTGGTTTCCTTGTGGACATCCCCAGACTGGTCCCTTGTGCAGTGTCACACTAAGAATGGTGGCTGTGAGAGTAATATGCAACATGCTTTCCTTGGGTCCTTACAGGAGGCAGCTTAACCCAACGGAACACCTCTAAGGGATGCAAATTCAGACATTCTCGAAGTCTACACAAAATTCCCAGGAAAGTCCATCCCAGATGGGAGGAGTCGAGAATGCATTCAGTTTTGGGGAATTAATGACATAGCCTTGAAAATGGCGGAGTGTCATTCTAGGTTAATCTTACAGGTTACAAATCTTCATGACAAAAATGGTCTTTTCACTGCAATTAAATGGGCCAGCTACTAGAATATGTCACACAGTGATCAATACCTGTTATTCTTTTTGGAGAATCTGAAAAATTCCCAATACCAAAGGGTTTTCTTAGACTGAAAAAAAGAATCAATGCTGTATTGATAATAATTAGAAACATGTAAACTTTTTAAGGTCTCAGCACCAATCTCCTCTCTTCTTCTTCTTCTTCTTCTTCTTCTTCTTCTTCTTCTTCTTCTTCTTCTTCTTCTTCTTCTTCTTCTTCTTCTTCTTCTTCTTCTTCCTCTTCCTCCTCCTTCTCCTCCTCCACCTCCTCCTCCTCCACCTCCTCCTCCTTTTCCTTCTTCTTCTTCGTTGTCATCATCCTCTTTCTCCTCCTCCTCCTGTTTGTTTGTTTGTTTGTTTGAGACAGGGTTTCTCTGTGTAGTCCTGGCTGTTTCAGAACTCACTTTGTAGACCACACTGGCCTTGAACTTAGGGATCTGCTTGCCTCTACCTTCCCTTTAAGTGCTGGAATTAAAGCCCTGACCTCCCAGTTGCCAATTTGCCTTTAAAAAAAATGCACCTGGCTTCTTTGCATTTGGGCATGTTTATTAATAATGGTTCAGCCAGAGGTCAATGTGTCAGCGCCATCCTCTAAAGCCCCTGAAAGACAGAGGAGGGTAGTATCAAGCCAGAGTTCATTCAAGTCAGGTTTTCTGTGGATCTGAAAAGCGCTGCGTTCATCCTCGTGTGTTTGTTGTTCATGTGGTTCTTGGATCATGAGAAAAGACAGAGGTTCCGTTTACACAGGCTCTGGCTGGGATGAAAGCTGGGTGAGGAGGAGAGCAAACAGGAAGTGACCTGCTGAGTCAGTCATGCCCTTTGGTACAGCATCACTATGTGATGGTGTCAGTGAACACTTCAAAGGGAATTTGGATAGCTTTGGAAGGTGGGCAAAATAGTTCTGAAAAAATACGTTCTGCTCATAGAAATTAATATTGATGTAAAGTTCCCATTTTCTGTGCATATAAGGCACAGTTCATCCCAGAGTTCAGAGATAGGCTCTCTCTCTCTCTCTCTCTCTCTCACACACACACACACACACACACAAACACACACACACACACACTCACCAAGGACTTTACCCACCAAGTCAAGACACAGGGCTGCTAAGCCAACCTTAACCCTGAAGCTCATCTCTGTCACTTCCTATTTTGGGGGATGGTTACAAAAATGATTTAACTATCCTTAGTCCTTGTATAGTTTGCAAATACTTAATTGCATTTAACTGATTTTTTTGATAAAATACTAAAGATGAAGTCTGAGATGGAGCACATAGAAGTTCCTTGAACAGTCTTAGGTACTGATATTACTAAAACCATACTCAGACCGGGACCCAAGACTGTCCAATCACTGAACACCATGGGAAGATGCGAACGCGATTCTGCTCTAAGTGACACTTTGTGCATTTCTCTGTGTCTCAGAGTGTCCAGATTTTGCTGGTTATATCTCACTTCTTTGATCAACTGGCCTCAGCTGAGCGCACATCACTGTCACCTCCGCATTTCGGTGTCTGTGTGGCGTGAAAGAAACTGGCGGATAAAGTTTATTTTTAAAATAAAAAATAACACATGATTGTTAAGATTTACTTTGAAAAGACAAAGTGGACAAACAAGACAGGAAAGGCTACATCCGCTTCCAAGACGGTTGACACGATGTGTTTTCTTCCGTGTTACTCAGCTGCCTGTCCTGTTTCCCTCTCATGAAACCCTGAGCACCTTTTATTAGAGCCGTCTTGCAAGGTGCCAGTTTGCAATAATCTCGTCCTGTCTGTTTATTAATCCACATTCTGAAACATATTTAACATCCAGCTTTCTGAGAACAAACCAAACCAAACCAAAATGACTCCACTGATTTGTCCTGCTTCTGCAGTGAAATGATTCCAAACTACATCCGGTTTCGAACAACCAACAAATCCTGGAGGCAGTCAAGAATCAGCCTGGTTGTAGGCCATTTTCACCCTCAAAGTAACCCCAGAATGTAGATCCAGTGTAACTAAAAAGCAATGGATGAATTTGGGGGCCGTATCTTTCTCAGCTGCTTTTCACTTTATTTTTTGAGCTATGCTAAATTTTCAGCTCACTAACTAGCTAGACTAATTAGGTCCAGTAGGCCTCAGGGACCCTTGTCTCTGCCTCCCTAAGGCTGGGATCACAGGTTTGTGCTCCTGTATCCAGCTGTTTCACGTAGGTTCTAGGGGACTAAACTCAATCATTCTCTGCAGCCTAGAAGTGATTGATTTTAAGCATTAATTGTATTAAGTATTAATAGACCTTAACCATAAATTTATGCAATTTAGTTGATCAATAATGGCTACTTAGCAACTATTAGCAATATTCCTGGGAAAATAAAAAAGAACAATTCATTTCCGCCAGTGCAATGAAGCTCCAGGAGACCACAGCAAGAAGGCAAAACCACCCGTGCCCTTATCTCGCTTTATTCCATTTGTTTAGCTGAGCACAATTCATCTGTTCCTTGGTCTGAGTCATCTAACTTCCTATGTATGATCACTCATTTGTGATGGATTCTAGGGCATCGATAATGACTTAATTTTTTTTTTTTTTGTGGGGCTGGAGAGATGGCTCAGCAGTTAAAGAACACTTGCTGCTCTTCTAGAGTACCTGAACTCCGTCTCCTGGACCATGTTGGGAGGCTCAGTATCACCTGTAATCCTGCTCCATAGGACACGACACCTTCCTCCCCACCCACTCCCAGACAATAATTAATGCGCTTTTGCTCTGTAGGCTTGTGAATTGCACGTGCATTAGGAATAAGACCTTATACCATGATTCTCTGTGACTATTTTCATATGCTTTATTTTTGTTTCCATTTTTCTCCATGTCATAGACTATAACATTTCCCTTATTTCCATTGCCAAATAATATTCTGTTGTATATTTATGTTAATTTTGTTTAACCATCCGTTGGTGGGCACTTAGGTCTCTTCCATATTTTGCTGTTATGAGTTTGTGCATCTATGAATAGAGATGTGGAAATACTTGAGTATCTGAGTCTTTGCTTTCTGTTCTCTTCACCACTGAAAGTGGCATTGTTGATCATGATTCTCTTTTGATTTCTTTCTGTGGAACCTCCATATTCTTTCCCCCAGTGACCACCATTTTAATTCCTACCCACAATGCACAGGGTTCTAATCCACCAACATCCCCTCTAACATTTACTATTTTTCTTTATCTTTATAGTCCCCCCCCAACAAGTATAGTTTTAATTTACATTTTCATTTCTTTTTCAAAATGTTTGCTTGTATATTTGTGTGTCGCTTGGTGGAAGCTTTCACATCTGCACAAAGATGTATGTGGAGGTCAGGGGTGACATGAGGGTCCCCCTTGGTTGTTCACTGAGTATTTACTGACAGTAGGATCTCTTGCTGGCTCAGCTAGTCTACCCAGCCAAGAATCTCCTGTCTCCTCTGGTGTGTTGACTTCACAGACATGTCACCCCATGTCTAGTGGGTGTTCAAACAGTAATGTTCATTCAGGTATGTCATGGCTTCTGGCTGTTAAAGGGCGAGTAATGAGTAACATTCTAAAAAGTTCTCCCTTGTTTCTGCCCCGTGTAGCTCCTGTCATCACCACGCCTCTTGAAACCGTAGATGCCTTAGTTGAAGAAGTAGCAACTTTCATGTGTGCCGTGGAATCCTACCCTCAGCCTGAGATTTCTTGGACCAGAAATAAAATCCTCATTAAGTAAGTACCGTATCCCATCCTGCTAAAGATGTCGGCTCTACCTTAGAGTTTCTCACCCATGGAAATACACCCATATTGTTGGTGACACTAAAGGTCACCTTCTAGAATGCACAAAGTGAAAATATACTCATTTTGTAATTGTAAGATCTGAGGTTCAGGGCAGAGCACTGATTTATCTGACGTGGGGAGTGCCAGAGGAGAATCCTGAAGCTTAGCACGAACTAGGCATCATCACGGTATTCTAAGTCTGCATGCATGTGTCCTAGGACACACAGAGGAGCTGAGGGGTCAGCCTGTCACCCCCTCTGTGTTCCCAAACTGTGAAGTCTGTTTTCTGAGACTCTGACTTCTCTGTCACTATCATCTTTTCCCCAAACAGTCAGCAGTTCCATTTGGCAGATAAAGGGTCTGCTTTGTCCCCTCATCACATTGGCTATCTGACCAAAAATACTACAGAATAATCTAGAACAAAGTGTGCTGGAGGGTGCTCTAACAGGCAGCGTTGAAGCTGAATGTTCTTAGTCCATATGAGCTACTGTGATAGAATTGTTAAGACTTGTGACTTATAATCGACAGAAAATTATTTCTCACAGCCTTGGGGGCTGAGGCGTTCCAAGTTCAGGGAGCCAGCAGATTCAACGGATGGTCAGAGAATGAGGATTTTACTGTTTTTGTTCACAGATGGCCACTTTCAACACTCTCTCTTCATAAGAGGGAAGGGCATGAAGGGACTCTCGTGGTTCTCGTCTATGGGGACACTAGGACCACTCACGAGAGATCCAGTCACATAAAACATAATTACCTTCTATAGGCCACATCGTGAATATCATCACATCTGACAGTAGGCTTCGACACATGAATTCTGGCAGAAATGTTCACATTTCATCCTCAGTGAGTCCTTAAACAGTGTCCAGAGATGAGGACATGACCTTGAAGGGGAGAAAGGACACGCGTATTTTCACTGCCTCTGACTGAGATATAATGCTTCCTGCTATGACACGTGCTCTGAAGTTCTGTGGGGCATCTCTGCACTACAGCCCCCATGCCCTCCACCAGGCAAGCTCTCTCAGAAGCGCCAGGACAGCTCACACACAGTTCACTCCCAGAAAAGCATCCTTGACATCATTTGCAGTTTGGACAGATTGAGATTTTCCAACTCATGAAGCCTCAATTTCTACTTTTACTTGGCAATATTTTTTCTTCTTCTTTTTACGGACAACCTTTGGAAGATTAATTTTTGTTTTATTTTTTTGTGCATGAGTATTTTGTCTGCATGTATGCCTGTACATTTTGTGCATGCTTGGTGCCCAGAAGTGCATCCTGAGTTCCCTAGAATTGGAGTTACAGATGGTTGTGGGTCCTGGGAACCAAACTCAAACCCAGGTCCTCTGCAAGAGCCAGTGTTCTTAACCACCAAGCCATCTCTCCAGACCCAGCAGTACTTCAAGTTACCTTTCTCCTCTTGACCCTTACTGCAACCTGCCAAAGACCACCAGGTTGTAGCTTCAGTGTTGTGTCTGGAAATTTCACTGGCTAAATGTGAGTCCACTATTCATAAGATCTGAATTCAAAATAAGTATGAGGCATCATTTGGCTAAACTCTCTGCCACTTTGGCAGGGATCACCTTTCCTGCATCTTTTTTTTTCTCTTTTTTCCCCCCAGGTAATGTCCCTTGCACTATCTCACCTACACAAGTAGATGTCTTAACATTCACTTTTTTATAAAATCAACAGTACCTTCAAGTCACCTATCAGTGATTACTTAGGCATTATTCTCTAAGACGATTGGGCATTTCCCTACTGTGTCTCTGAACTCTTTCTAAGACGCTGTGCATGGTTCAGCTGACACTCTCTTCATGAAACCTAAGTGTTTTATCTTGTTCCTTATCATGCTGCTCCAAACTCTGCTAGTTCAGCCCTAACCGCCTCAGTGCGAAGCCACACCTCCTTTGTCAGGTGTTTGTCCCAGCAGCACCATGCTTCAAGTACCGACCCTTGTATTTATTTTCTACTGACTTTCACAAGTGTAGTGACTTCAAACGACACACCTGTATTAGTTTACAGCTCCAGAGTGTGAGGCACTCTCCCCTGAGCTAAAGTCAAAGCACTGGCAGTCCCAACTCTTTCCGGATGCTACGGGACACAATCAGAGACACTTTTGAGAGTCCACAGGCCACCTCCACCTTCTGATCACTTCCTCTGTTCAGAGAGCTGGCAGTTACCTGACGCTGATGGCTACATGTCCGACCTCTGCCTCTTACTCTTCTTCCTCACTCTTCTACTATATTTGGTCTATGTGGATAACCTAGAATTTTTCATTTTAAAATTCTTAATATGTTCAAATCCCTCCTGTAGTGTATCACTCACAGGCTCTGATGATTAAGATATGCGTCTTTGGAGACACTCATTCAGAGTACCATATACATTTGATATTGAGAATCCCTACTAAAACAAACAGTAAAAAAAAAAAATCCACCAACAGAAGACACTTGGTTTTAGGTTGATGATTCCCCTCCACTTTCTTTCTATTGCCCCAAATCCTTTCTCAGTGGACAACTGTATGTAATTAAATAGACTATATATGTGCATTCCTACAAGCACACACAATATGTTTTTATAACTTGAAGTTCTTTTATTTCCTTACGCATCTCAAGCCAGAGGCAGAGAAGTATCTGTCACTTGACAGACATCTAAAAGTTGTTTATAAAAAGAGGAAGTACTAGGGTTTTGGAGAGGAAGTGGGGGGAGGAGAAAAATTAATAAGGGTAATCAAAGTGTACTATATGCATGTGTGAAAATACCATAATGAAACCTTTTATTTTGTATAATTAACATATATCTGTAAAATACAAAGAATGAGTACAACTTACAAACGCAAAGGTAATTGGTGTAGTTCTATTTAAAGTATTTATTCAGTCATTAACGGCTTCAACAAAATGAAAGTAAGATTCGGTTAAATTTTATTTAGTTAATTAGCAACCCATTGCTCATATCCCCATGTATTAAAACATGCGACAATAGTCATGATTATTATATCGCATTAGAATAAAAGGGGTAGAGAGTTGGCTCCGTGGTTAAGAGCACTGGCTGCTCGCCCAGAAGAACCAGGTCTGATTCCCAGCACCCATATGCAGCTCCTCACACCTGTATGTGATCTGGCTCCAGCGAGATCTGACGCCCTCGTCTGGCCTCTGCAGGCACTAATCGTGCATGGAGTACACAGAAATAATGCAGGCAAAACACCCACACACAGGAAATACAAAATACAATAAGAGTAAAAATTAGAAAAAGAATGAAAAGTACTTATTTAATGAATAAATGGCTATTCAATTAAATGCTATTGATATCCATAAATATTTAGTTCTTTCGGTTTATTACAATTACAAGCAATCTCCTTTCCCAGTTTTTTCCCTTGTGAGAAAAGACTCATACGTCTTAGTTTGGTATACCTTCCTAGATTGGGGGGACCTGAATTCAACCTCCAGAATATACATACTCAAAAGGAAAGTTGAATGTGATAGCTGGAACTTGTAATCCCACCTGTGGGAAGTGGGGCAGAGACTGGCAGATCCTTGGGACTTGCTGGCCACATGGCCTTACATGCTTTATAAGTTCAGAATGGCACGCAAGCACACACAAGCACACACTTTCCTGTGCAAATGTTTCACTTGCTCTTAGCAGCAGCCATCGCCTCACATAACTGTTTTGTACAGTCCAGTGGTGCTTCGATTATGGAGCCCAGAGAGGCCAGAATGTAAAATAGCTTTATTTTACAGTCATAAGCAAGGCCACTCAGTTCTATAAAATAATCATTTCCTCTAACCCCTTTTCTGCTTCCTCATTGACTGGCCATCCATTTGATCCATTAATCAAAGACAAGTGTGTGTACGTGCGCATGTGTGTGTGCATGTGTGCGTGTGAGTGAGTGTGTGTGTGCGTGTGAGTGCAAGCGTGTGTGTGTAAAATCACACGTGGCCTACTGATCCTCCTCTCTGCTCCATGACCGGCAGACTGTTTGACACCCGCTACAGCATCCGGGAGAACGGTCAGCTCCTCACCATCCTGAGTGTGGAAGACAGTGATGACGGCATCTATTGCTGCAGCGCCAACAACGGAGTGGGAGGAGCCGTGGAGAGCTGTGGTGCTCTGCAAGTGAAGATGAGTGAGTACGGAAGGGCGTAGTCTAGGACCCGAAAGTTGTCTCTGTACAGTTCGTAGCAGTCAACAAACAGCACTCCGCGTGCCTGAAGTTCAGCCACGGCACAAGCTCAAGTACAAAATATAGGTTCCGGGGCCAACCCTTAATCCTGCCACAGCCACCACCTTAGTTTGTTCTCCTCTCCCGCCTTGGTTTTGGCCTTCACACTGCTCTTGATTATGTTTGGGAACTTCCTTCTGAAATCATTATGCAATTTTTAAAAAATTCACACACACACACACACACACACACACACACATACACACATCTCAGAAATCTGTCCCACAAAGGCGTCTCTCTGCTCTGTATCTACAGTGTCAGATCAGTAGGGACATGAGGTAGAGTAACTGCTTTATGAGTGCTTTGAGGCATCTGAACATCTCCGTGCTACATGTTAGAGTTAATAACTTCTTCTCAAAACTTCACCAAAGAGACGAAGATGAACCAATATCACCCATTTCTTCAGAAAAGTTGCCCTGAGTGCTGGCTGAAGAGACAACTTCTCTTTGTAGAATCTTGATTCTCCAAACTGTGTCAGAGTCAAAGTAAGGTGGGAACTCGACCCAAAAGCAAAAGATCTCAGGAGGCAGAAGTCTCAAATTTGAGGCCAGCCTCTTCGATATAGTGAGTTCTAGGTCATCCAGAGCTATGTAATGAGACCTTAACTCAGAAAAGAATAATATTAAAAAGATGGAAACTAAACAGAAAGCAGATCTTAATTCAAAATGATATGATTAATCATGACAGTTTTCAAGTGTTTGACATCTAATGGTATAAATTGCTTAATGTTGAATTACTATGGGGACAGTTTATGCTGATAGACACTTTATTAAGTGTCATTTAAAATAAAGAGTACTAAGAAATTCCAGATCTTTAGTATGCTTCATAAAAATGAGTTTTGAAGAAAAAGGGAATAGAGGTTTTAACAAAGCAGATCTAACCATTCTGTAAGCTGGATTTCCATTTGATGTCTACTAATGACCCGTCTTAGCCTTTGTCCAACTTTGTAATTTAAGTTCCCTAAGATGATGCTTGAAATGGACACCGATAATGAACTAGAAAGCTAAAACCCCAGTTCAATACAGATACATTGCCTTTTTATGTCTGACTTTCATGTCCCCACAGAACCTAAAATAACTCGCCCTCCCATTAATGTCAAAATAATAGAGGGGCTGAAAGCGGTTCTACCATGTACGACAATGGGCAACCCCAAGCCGTCCGTCTCCTGGATCAAGGGGGACAGCGCTCTCAGGGTAAGTGATTGTTATATTAAAATCCGGGTATAAGGCTCCTTTTGCAAAGATTTATATTTTAAATTTATTCGTGTCTCTGTGTGTGTATGTGTGATTTTCCTGTTGTTTTAAGTCTCAATGCATTTTCTCAAAAAAAAAAAGCAAAGCTGACTGAGTCTGTGAGCCTCACTCAAGTTACAATGAATTCAAAAAAAGAGTAATTCTCAAAGGCTATGTGTTCTCCTAAGGCTACCCAAAGGGTGTATGGGGAAGTACAGTAACTAAAAACAATATGTTAAATTTTTGCCTTGTTTTGTGTTTTATTCTGGGGGTGATATCAGGACTGTGTGTATGCCAAGCACATTTTCTACCACTAAGCGACCCCTCCAGCCCCAAGAACAATGCTTTCAATCAAACAGACACAGTGTGAATTTTGGAAGTCACGATCAGTGTTGTGTTTTAACGAGATGAGGGTAAGAGAAAAAAAATGGACGTAATCTCGCGAGATCACTGAGATCGCTAGTTTAGATGATCTCGCGTGGTCTCAGTACTGCATTAATATGCATAGGTAGGGTAGTGGCTGATATTTTGGGTGTTAAGGACAGGGATAAACCAATGAAATAAGGCAAATGTGTCTTTGACTAAGGCTGTTTTCAAACTCGTGTCCCTGTCTTTGGCAGGAAAATTCCCGCATTGCAGTTCTTGAATCGGGGAGTTTAAGGATCCATAATGTGCAAAAGGAAGATGCAGGACAGTACCGCTGTGTGGCAAAAAACAGCCTGGGCACAGCTTACTCCAAGCTGGTGAAGCTAGAAGTTGAGGGTAAGAGGCAGCATTCCTCCATCATGGGCGGCTGGGGAAACCGTGCTTTAGAGTGAGAAAGCTGGGATGTAGGAAGCTGTGGATCCTAACTCTGGGGCAATGCTATGAAAACAGAGAACTCAGAAGACATGTCGCTGCATAAAAGATCAGATTCTATCCGTTGCCACCACTGCTGATAGGTTTGACCATTGCAGCGAACAGAATTCATAATAATGATAAAGCAATAATGGCACCATCTTAGTGTGTCTTTTTGGCTTGGGCAAACCTCTTATTTATAAATTTTGAGACAGTAGTTTTATGTTTTAATACACTTGGATTGAGTTCTAGAGAATAGGAAGATGGAAAAAAGTATTTTTCAAGTAATTGCTTTACCAAAAAATGAGAAAAATAAGATAATGAATCAAACATATAAAACATGATCCTAATTCTGTGAATCATGTAGCGATTAATGCTTTGAACATAGTAATTGTTTGTGAATGTGTTTCTTTTCACTAGTTAATTCAACAAATTGGTAGGGAAAAATCTTTACTGAGAAATCAGAATCCAAACAAATTTTAGTGATCTATTCCCTATTCATCTGGCTCTTTACCTAAAATTTTATCACACTTGGTTTAAAAATAGGAACTAGGATCCAGATGGGAGGGGAGATGGGGAAAAACCGTAATCAAGATGTATTATGTGAGGGAAAAAAAAAAAAACCTATCTCAACAAATGGGGTGGGAGGGGACCGTCAGCAGGCCTGGACTATGTGAGCTCCTCAGGGGTGGAGTCCTTCCTAATGCTTCCTGTTCTGAGCCATAGAGTCAAGAGCTCTGACTTCTTTCCTCTGTAAAATCAGGTTGAAGGAACTAATAAGCAACTGATTATATCCAGCAATCTGGCCTTGAATGTACTTCCCAGACGATGGCTATAGATTTCTCCGCTTTTATTTTCCTTCTCTGACTGATGAAATGTTGAACTAGACACGCCAGCAGAAACAGTGATTAAATCAACAAAGACTTTGATGGATCCCAGATTTTTGAGCCACCTCATTCCAATTTGGTCAAAATCTATCCTTTCCCGCAATTTCCTTTCTGACTCCGGTTTTATTGAAGTCATTTTTATTTCTTGAGTTGCCCCACGTCCTCTCTCTCACAGCTTTCATGACCTCCTTTTCCATATCTGTCTCCAGTTGAGGCAGCATTTTATGGTGTCAACTGCTCATAAAATTTCCATTAGGAAATGGCAATATATATATATATATTATAGACATAATATACACACACATATATATATAATGTATAATATGTCTTAGGTAGGAGGATGTTTTACAGATATATATATATATATCTTAGCATAGTTCTCAATATCGTTAGCATAAATTAATTCCTTCTAAATTATCAATTCTATTTAAAGATTAGAGGACAATTGATATTTTTCCAGTGAAACCTACATTAACATACAACTGCGTTCAGAAACCTACTCAGGCACCCTGAATTCCTGCCTAGACCCAGGGTTGCTCTGAACTCTCTCTAGAATGGTGTAGCATGAACGCTATCCACAGCAATAGCCCCTTGTCAACCTATCAAACTCCAGCTTCCCGTCTTCCCAGTTGTGGAAACAATCGCTTCAAATTGGCTCAGAGGAAGCTATCGTCGATACTGATTCCCTGGAGCCGCTTTACACGGTCCACTCTTTTCTGGCTCTCAGTTGTGAGTCTGTGAGATGGGTCGTCACTTCCATCTTCCTAACGCTGGGAAGATCATGCTTGTTTGTCTTGAATGTTAACAGATGCCTGAGGTTTCATAAAGATTTGTCATGGCTGAGAGCTCATGCTAACACTTGAGGCTTCTCTAACAGTTGGTAAGAAAATCATTTCAGCTCCTATGTCTGATCTGCTTCCTCTCCTTCTGACCAAGATACCTCCAAAAAGTGGCATGCTTTCACTAGCACATAGTAAGCACAGTATAAAGGATATCTCTCATATTTTTATTGCCATTAAGACATAAAAAGCACAGCAAATATGTTTTGGCTTGGGAAGATCCTAAAAGTTGAAGTTGATTTCTTTTGTACCAAGAGCTAGGCATACGTACAAGTTACAGTTCAGACAGAGCCTGCTCAAGGAAGAGTCGGTTCAACCTGCAACTCACAATGCACCGAAAAGTGATAGGAGAATGATTGGGAGATGCCTGCTGGTCCTGAAGAGGTGAGGGCCGAAGGCAAGGCTCAGTCATATTCAGTTGGAGCTAAAAAATGTATGTATCCACCACTTAGTAACTTCATGTTAGTTATGGGATTGCTCTTTTGAAGCAGAACACCATACTGCTATTTGAGGCTGTTTTATGCTAACTATCTGTGGATATATAACTAGTAGCCTCTAGCAAGAAAAACTATGCCAGGCATGTCATTACACTGGGTTCAGTGCACAGAGTACATCTTAGTTGACATAGAAAATGTGAAAGAAATACCCTGTCAAGTGGGATGTAAAACTCTCGAAATTACCGTCTTCGGGCTTCCAGGTCTAAAGCGACAGAACAAAGAGAGTCTACTTCTATTAGTTAGTTACCTTACCGTTGCTAGGACAAAACACCATGACCAAAGCTGTTCATAAAAGAAAGCATTTAATTTGGCTACAGTTTGAGCAGGTTCGGGTCCACGATGGTGAAGCAGAGGCATGGCAGCAGGGTAGAGCAGAGAGTTTCCATGCGGATTCACAAGCAGAAGGCAGAGGAGGCTGGGAACAAAATCTCAAAACCTAACCCTCAGTGACACATCTCCTCCAACAAGGCCATACCTCTGAATTCTTCCCAAACAGTTCTATTGACTAGGGACCACATATCCAAAAAAATGAGCCTATGGGGACAGTCTTACTCACGCCACCATATTGACCTTCTGTCAAAAGATACCATATGTGACATGCAGAATTCCTGATGGAACTCAAGCTGGTCCAGGATATATGTCTTTCAAAAGAGCTAGGATGGCTAGAATGTTACAATGTACTATTGCTCTCAGTGGTTTACGTGGGGATCCTCGTGTGCCTGTCACTCAGAGCACTTGTCAAAATAGGATGATCCTATACTGTGCCATTCTAGGATATCAAGGAACAGCGAGGATGGCTTGTTTACCCAGGGCTATGCGGACGGCAGTATCTAAGAAACTGAGGCACACTGAATGCTGTCTCCTCTGTTAAGAGACAAGACGGTTCTCTATGATATTGTCTAGAGCAGCATCAGGATGGAAGTGAAAGAAGAATCCAGAATGCTGTAAATGCAGAAAGAGAAAGAAAAATGGAAAGGGGGCACAAGCTTTTCAAGGAGCCTGGCATAAAGAGGTGAGGAGTCAGAACAGGGAGCGGCTAGAAAGAGTGAGCGTGTTAAAATAGCCTAAGAAGGGAAACTTGACCACACAGAGGAGGGGACACTGTCAAAGGAACGTGGTACCGTGGCACACACAGGGACTGCATCCAGGGTACAGGTGGAACTACAAACTTTATACGACCACATGTCCTGTTTCTCCCGGGACAGCTCTGGGTCACACCTGTTGTCCTGGAATAATTATTAATAGAATCCTGCTTTTCCTTTCTGAAGTGTCTAGGCTTCCATGATACATTACACAGCTGCTCTCCTTAGGGAAGAACATTTTCTCCCTTGGAGGAAGGAGGGAAATGGGGTCATTTCCCCACATGAATCTGTTAATAAGCCAGGCGTATTAGATTTAAGAAGGCTGTTCTCCTGGTCTCTGTTTCCTTTAGGGAATAGGTTGTAGGTTACCCTCCATAAGGAGGGCATGGGGCGGGGGTGGGGGCAAGGAGAGTGGAAAGATTTTTAAAATAGCTGCAGGATGGGAACGATGACTCAGAGAAGGAAACAGGGGGTTATGGAGCGACTTTAAGGTTTTAGCCGAGGACAGGATCATGAACACGGAAGGAGGGGCGTCTTCTGCGTGACAGAACCAAGACTCACCCCAACGACGTGAAGTTTGATCTTCTCCACAGATACACATTCAGGAAAAGTATGTTTACATTATGTTTGAAGGTAAGGCATGAATATTGGAATCTTGGTGGAAAGGAGAATAGGGCAAAATAAAATATTCCCTGAGAGAGTGAAGCCCCGAGTCCCAGAATCTTTATGCATGAAATTCATGTAGCTTAATATCCAAACACCGAATCGACGAGGGTTGAAACCCTGGCTTAAGTCTTACAGCTCCAGCAATAAGACAGATACAATTGCGTGAAAGTCTTCCTACTACAAAGGTTAGACATGCAGGATTAGCTACACAACTCACGGGGATAAAGTGTAAATATCCAGACATGATGAATTATTAAAAACTGAGCAACTTGGTTTGTAAGCTCCAGAGCAGCCTCCCCATTGTTCTGAAGCAATGGGTGAGGTACCCATCTCCATCTCCCAGCCTTAAGATCCACAGAGATGAGGAGACCAGGTTTCAGGTCCCATGGAAAGTAGAAGCAAACACTGAGATCCTTGCTTAAGGCTGAGAAGCACGGCGATGCTAAGAGGGACCAGGAAAATTCATGGGTGTGCGCACACACGCAAATTTGTATGTCTCTACCTGAATTATAACTATAAGGGAGTAAAAAAAAAAAGTCTTCTCAGAAAAAAAATATTGAACACTCCGAATACAGAGAGTATGACGTTAAATTGTTACAGTAATGCAGTCTGGAGATTCCTGGAGGGAGAAATTAACATAAAGAGTAAGTGTGAAAAGTTTAACAAGAAAAAAATGCTGAAAATGGAAATATTGAAAATAGAAATATTGAAAATGGAAGTGCCTTACACCGGGGACCCGATATTTCGATGGATGAAAACACAGTAGTGACGCATTCACAGTATGAATAGTAGCTGTGTGGGAAGGGACTCGCCTGAGTGTGAGTCGACACACTAAAAAAGGAACCAGTCAGCAGAACAACAGTAGGGGACATAAATAGATATGCTCAAAGCAGTCAAAGACACAAAAGGAGGAATAGAAAAAAAAGTATGTTTCCAGTTTAAAATTCCAACCTG